TAGGCTGAGAGCACTAGTTATGCTTGAAAAGTATGTGCATTCACCGAAGAATATAGACCTATGATTCCTAGCAGCTTTAATTTAAAAAGTGAATGAGTATGAAATATATTTGATGAAATATGAATGAAATATGAATATTGTTGATGAAATATGAAATATGAATATTGTTGATATAAAAAAAATAGTCAGAAAAATGAGTTTGTAAAAGAACATTTCACACCTAAATTTTTATTTAAAAATGAAACAATCATCATGCCAGTCATTTGATGACCAATAGAAACAGATCCTATTTTTGACGTATTTAGCTGAAATGCAGATTGAGAGTATACGCTAATCTCTATCAAAGAAAAGTAATAAAATAATCAATTATCTCTGACTTGAAGAATGAAAAGCAATTGTCATATGGCATTATGCTCAACTTTAGCCTCATCGTACACCCAGTAGGGGGGAGAGACTTTTACAGATTTTAATCCTAATTTGTATGAAACAATCGCAAACGAACATGCGAAATTTCACGTCTCACCTTAAGTATATATTAAATGATAATTGTTTTTACAATACTATATCTCATAAAAATTAAAATATATGCAAAACTATAAATTTATTAAAATATTTAATTAATCGTCGATGCATGTTTTTGCTTCATAGTCTTTGAAATTTTTATGTATATTTTATATTTCATTGGTTGATCCACTTGTACGACCCACTGTTCTGAGGCTTATTTAAAGTAAAAAAAAACAGTGCATAAAGGTGGCTAAAAAGTTATTTTAAACTGTAATTGTTTTTTAAAAAATTATACCGGGGAAGAGTGTAGTATACCTCTCGCCCCCATCGTTGTCTGGCGAGCAATTAAGAGCACCGCAAAAGATCGTCATACGAGCACCATCACATTTTGTGATGGCTGTGCTCGCCTAAAAAAAGACCTTTTTGGCCCATGGTTAAAAGTATTTGCTCACCTCTGTCTTAGAGATAGTTCAGTGCATTTGAATTTTTCTCCCAACGGGGAAAAAATACATTCTGTGATCATCTTAGAAAGCAGTGATACTCCATACCGATGTCTATTTACTCTCTGAGAAATACTGAACACTTTCAGACGTGACCTCAAGAAGACGGTTTAGTGCATAATAAATTAAACAAGAGTTAGATAATGAGAATTAAAAAAACTAATAATGAAGGGATTCAGTTAGGAAATCGGCTTCAAATATTAAATCTGTCGGCATTGCTCTGATGATATATCTAACTTAAACGAATCGGAAAGTTGAAATCTTTACAGAAGTATAATCACCTCAATATATGTACGTCGAGCAACGATATATAGCGATATTCTTAGACAGATTGAATAACGTTTAAACGACCACAGCGACTTCCGACAAGCCGCCTGCACGCAACAGCCAATCGATTGGTAACCAATCGCGTGAGTGAAACGCTTAGGAGTTTTGCAGCTGAAAGCAGACTTATTGCCATCAAGTAGAAACTTGCGCGATGCTTAACGTGACGAACAGCTATAAAGAAAATCAAATGTAAATAATGATGAAAAAGTTTGAGTTGAAGATTATTATACTACAATAAAAAAATCATTTTATTAAGTGGAAATCTTTTTAGGTCCTCGAAGTGATAGCTTCGTTCAAAAATGACGGATCTGATAGGCTATTTCTGTTAAGAATACAAAAATTGAAAATAAAGAAGAACCGACTCCTTTGTCTGATTTCCTACTGTATCTGCTTCCATTTATATGAAAAATTCTATTTTCTATTTTATTTCTTTCTTTAACTGGCAGTTTGTTATTTGATTTTACATTATAAACTCTCACTATTTCTAGCATTTTCTAGACTTTTTAAAATACTGAAGAAAACTATTGTTTTCAGTTACCAATAATATCCTCCAAGCTGAAAATAAAAATCAGAAACCAAAGACAATGTTGTTGCTAATAGATAATGTACCTTTATTTACCTTCGATATTATAAATATTCTTTCCTGACTATAAAATTACAATATTCATTCTAAAAGTCATTTGACCCGGATCTCGTAAGTGTTATGCAACAACTGTTATTTTATACTATGATTTTTTATAAATAAATAGATTTAAAAAAATCCTACAAATATTTCTAATTTTATTTATGTACACTGTCGTCGACATTCAATAAAAATCTAACGTTTATTACAAAATTCTGTAAAAACATATTATTGTAAACTTTTCGTTACATATTTCTAATTTTCATTACATATTTATTAATTTTTTCAACCAGTCATATTTTTTTAAATATTTTTTATGATATTTTCTGCTTATCCTATTTTCCGCTCAAAAACGTGAAATGCCGAAACAAAAGTCTCGAGTTTTAAAATCGAAATGCCTTTCATGTTGAATACTAATTTAATTTACAGCAAAATTTGAGTTTTATGAATTGCGATAGCAAATACAGTGAACCCTAATCGTGGCGACTCTCTTCGTAAGATTATCAACTCTGAAAGTAACCATATTTTTGAGAACATAAACAAACGTCGATAATCATTATCTCCTATATAAGACGACTACCTCCTCAGAAGACCAAAGTCCTCTGGAGCCGTGAGTGATCGTCTTACAGACGGTTCACTGTATTTACTGCAATATCACCTGGTAGAATTTAGAACTGGGAGAAAAAATTAAAGACCATAACCGCAGTTCATACTCTTTCCTAAATAAAACCACGCCTTAAATGTGTCGGGGAAAAAAAAAAAACGGTGGACTACCAAGGTCAAGAACGATGTAAAATAAAAAACAAGGATTAGAATCTTATTGGTTACTTCACATACCTGAAAGATAATAAACTATTCTAAAATAAAACAACTTTTGTTTAAAAAATCCGTACCTTCTTCCTTGCTCTGATTTTTAAAGTACCTACGATGCTTAGGCATGCATTTCTTGATCAAGGTGCTCGAAACAAGGATATTTTAATTTACACGAATTTACTTAATTCAAACAGTACATTCACGATTATCACCAAATCGCGAGTTTTTTTTTTTTTTTTTCTTAATTTTTCTCTCTCGTAATTTTACTTTTCTGCCACTTTCAATTGTCATCGGATCTCCCCCTTTTTTGTCTGTGTATTACTTGGTCTCTACAAAGTAAGATTTTAATTTTCTAATTCAGTCGTTATGATAAAAATTATGCATATTTACTATTGTTATTACTAATATTAAGAACACTTTTTCCATATTACTGATAATGGCGATTTTAACACCAGCTTCTTTGAGTTTAGCTAGAATGGATTTTTGTAATTTTTCTGCAACAAAATTCAAAATTTTAAACCTCTTTTTTAAAATTCTTTTCATTTTTTATTTCGTTAGAAAATAACTGAGGAAACAGAAATCTTGTCTGACATTATCTCTACATTCCAGTGTCAACAGAAAATGGATCTGAAGTGATGATGATTTTAATTTCTTTAGTAACAACTGCAACTATTGCGGAAATAACCGTAAGAAATTTGATTACACTTCTGAGAGGAATTGATAAAATCTTAAGCTATAAAAAAATAAATAACGGAGAAAGGAACTGATAACAGGCGTATATTTCGTTTTTGGACATCCGTGTTTAATCTCCTGATGCTATTCCTGTTGACATTTAATGCGTTAGGTCTGCTGAAACAAATTTTTATTTGTCACCACATCGTTCACCTTAAGTTAGAGAGCACTGAAAAACATTTATGGCAAAGTAAGTGCGGTAGGTGCTGCGGGTTCAAATTATAGGAAAACAGAACTGACGTCGACAGCATGGCTTTTCCTAGGCAAATTTAGTCTATGACATAATCAGTTTCAGTATATTAAAAAACAGTATATTGAGTGCTGTTAAAAGTCCAATATCTTTGAGAACGTATTAATACAACTAATTCTTCTTTGAATCCAGAGGTTATAACACAAAATTATTTTTTATTCTTTTATATGATTTAATGGAAAAAATACAGTAAAAATATGAAATAAGGAAATCTGATTGCGATATGGTAATAAAATAAATCAGTTAATTCATATTTGAATAAGTCTGTTGCTTTTTTAATCCTGACATTATGATATGTCAAACGTAAACTGAAAAATCTATTCTTTAACAGAAGAAGACCAAGTTGCTCTTCGTTATGTGTGTGTGTGTGTGTGTGTGTTTGTGAGTATGGCGAAGCCTCGAGGGCTATCTGCCTAAGAGGAGGGATGCCTTCGTGGAGGACTTTCTAAGGGAAACTGGCTCGTATACACGTTACACATGGGGAAAACCACGAAAACTCCCCTGCACAGCCCTTCCGGATTCGAACCTCGGGCCGAACTACCAGTGTTCAGCGACTTAACCGCTCGGCCGCTGGTGGGCACTCTTCGTTATGAATCGACGTCTGTGAAAGGCAATATTTCTACTTCTACGCCATCAACATTTCTACCTCATTACATCAAAGTCTTAAACAATATTGCATATCTATATATGTAAGATAGAAAAATTGTAAATCAAAATTCTAAATTTAATTAACAATAGTCTTTTATTCCCCTCTCTATTCTATAAATAGAAAAACCATAATAACTTTTCTGGGCTGCGACATTTCTAGATCAATCCATCTTTAATGGCTTAATGCTGATGACGTAGTTAATTCGGAACCTGAACTCAAAATTTCGAGAACTGAAACCTTTCTAACCCAAAGAAAAACTCTCTTGGTAAGCCTCTATACTGGACAATTGCGTACTTTTCGCTTCAGCTCTGTTACAGTCAAGATTCTGCTTCGATCGCTGACGTGTCGCTTCGCCTCTGCTAGTATTGTCTATTATTCTAAAATGTTGCACACTATATAAAATTGTGGGGTGCATATTGCGCCCATGATGATGCGTGATGAACAATATGTTTTCGATAATTAGTTTGTGTCCACCAATAAAAATTATATTCAATTCGGCCCCGTCTGTCTACAAGTCATGTTATTACACACTTATTACACCACACACACATATATACATATGAAGCTATGTTCCATCCGGAAATATGATGAATGTGAACTTACTTCCTAGGTGGCTGTGTCTAGGGGCTTGAAATTATTGATCCGACTTATGAATAACTCGAATGTTTAATGGAAACACGAAAAGCTGCTACAAACTGCAAGGTGATTACATATGAATAACGAAATAGGTGAGACTATATACAAGTGAAGAGAATGAACCGTCTTTTACACATATTGCGTCTTTGAATACCGTCATCGTCGTCCCGCTCTTACCAACGTCCTTCTCCGAATGATTGCGCAATTCACTCTGTCTTAGCACTCGGGATCCAAAGGCCCTTTCTCCTACGGCTTGACTCTACATCTACTCGATGGCGCATTCCCATACATATAAATGTGCGTGTGAAAAAAAAACTTGCAGTAAGGTTCAACGGATTGACGATGGTTCTATGCATTATGACTTGGAGATATTTTACCACATTATTCGAAAGATGACACTCGAAGACCTGTAGACAGATGTAGCCGAATTCAGCATAATCTTTATTGCTGGACACGAACTAATTATCGAAAATATATTTTTCATTACACATAATCATGACACAGTACACAAACCTCAGTTTTATACAGAGTATCACATTTTAATAAAGGCGTATTGCAGCAAACAAACCACATAAATAAATAGCATCAGCTTAACATAACTGCAAGCTAGCTTTTTCCAATATGGCAGTATGTTAAGAGAAAGGTTTTGGTTTAAGGTTTCAGTTCTTAGAGTTTAGGTTCCGAAATAGCTACGTCACACGTTCTCAAGCTTGTGACATAGATTAATCTAAAATTGGCGCAACTCAGAGAAGTTATTACGATTTTTAGAATTGAGAGGGAAAATTAAGGGTTGCCCGTTAATTTAAGTTATAATTTTGATTTATATATTTTTTATCTTACATTTACTATAGATACCGTTCCATTCCATCTACTCTCTCTCTTTCTTTGCCTATGCTTGCTACCTTAAGGATGTCTCTTGCTCAGCTGCTTCTATTAAAAATAATGCGTCATCATCAAAATCATGGGGTGCAGATTGGCCCCACTGTGTTGTGCCATTTAATAAAGTAATCAACAAGTAATAAAGATATATTTAGATTATTACGTGATTTTTGTGATTCTTCAAACGTTCGCCGCCATCTTCTACCTCGTAACTGATATTTTCAGCAGTGATCTAACCTCAATCCTCTCACGACTGCAAAGTAATGTCTTCCCTAGTCAAGCACTCATGTCTCATCAAATTACTGCAAGGAACTAAATAATATCATCACACACACACACACACAATTTTGAGAAAATTACTTTGATATGCTGCTATCACAGCAAACACGTTATGTGTGAAAATTTTCAAGAAAATCGATTCAGTAAAAGAAAAATCAAAACTTAATTTCGAGCTTAGCCCATACTGAAAAGCCAAATTGATTAAAACCGCATAAAAGAAATGCAATGATTCTATTTTAACCCAGCACTGTAACTGTTATATCTTTTTGTTATCATCATGCTTAAAAAATTCAAATGGAGCCTGTTCCAAGAAATGAAACAAACGATGGGCATCGCAGATGTTTACATCGGCTTTGACCAACGCGGAATTCATATGTCTTCCGTACTACGAAGTTAATGTTTGTGACGTCACGAAGTTCTACGAAACTTCTTGCGAAGAATTTTGTCTGTGAGAAGTAAACATCTGCGGTGTCTTGAATTTATGGTATTGCTACTGTGTATTATTTTTTCCTAGTCGGCTTCGCAGAATATAATGTTAACGTAATTATAGATGGTAATAGTTTTTATTAGTTATGCAGAACAAAGGTTAGGTTTCTTTTAGGACAGTGAAAGAAAATGGGGGAAGAAAATAGAAAAAATGGAATAAAAATAAAAATGATATAACAGTACTGGGTAGAGAGGGGTATAATGATAAAAAGCTCTAATAATAACAGCTCAACTTATTTTTTAAAAAAAGTTTTGTTATGTTTAGAATACAAAGTAATTTATTCCCAAAAAAATCTAATGAAAAGTGTGCTATAATTCTTATTTATTGATTGATGTGGTATTTCATTGAAAATTTTTTATTTTTCAAACATTTGGGTCCAACAAGAAAATAAACATGACATTTTACGACTTGTAGAATTTTTGAAGCAGGAAACATAAAAAATGAGCAATGCTCTCACCGGGACTCGAACCTGGACCTCTTGAATATGCTTCGAGTGTGCTATCGTTACACCAGGAAGGCATGGAGAAAATGCCTTATGAACCTTATATTTATTATATACTACCTTGTAAAGAAAGGAGAAAATACCTTATAAACTGAATTTATTATTTTAAATCTTGTGCATTGAAATAGTAGTTTTTAGAAATAATTTAATGTTTAAAACTTCTCCTTATTTATAAAATATTTTGTTTTACTTCTTTTCTTTGCCTAGAGTGACCTCATTTTTCCGTTAATCGGTAGCTCTTGACAAAAGAAACTGCATCCGATGTCAAAGCAGATCTTATCGCAAGAGCTTATACGTAGACACATATATATTACCAAAAACAGCTATTGCGGCATACAAATAAGACGTGTATACAAATATACGTGTAATAAATATATTTAAATTGATTAGTAGTACAGTAGTGCTATATTTGAATAGTACAGAAAAGACACTTTTACCTCCAGCGCGCGAGACTGTGTATCGGAAATTCTACAGATAAGCTCATTTAAAAATTATTTTGGGATATTGCTCTTGAACAGAATTTTATTGTTTAAGCGTAAAGAACATGATATTTAATAAATAAAGGTAACACACAAAATGTTTAAAAAAAACGCCCCTTTGGACGTAAATTAAAAATCTGAAATCTTTTTTGGAAAGGGAGGGGGAAAGAGAGGAAGGTAAGTGCTTCGCGAGTCAGCAATAAATTGTACAATTGCGACTTTTCAAAGGATAACCCAAATTAATAAATGTTGTTTGTGATTTTATTGCATTTTGCATTGTCTGATCTAATTATGATATAGTGAATACTCTCTTGACCACCTTTCCTAAAAGAATTGCCTCTAAAACTAGCCATTGTTTTTAAGAACCTAATATAGTTAAACATCAGTTTTGAACATCACCTGCCTGTGACAGTTACTCCACAGAAAACCAAAATCATCAATATTTGTGAGTGAGGTTTTACTATATATTTTATTTGCATCAAAAAAAAAAAAAAAAATCTGTATTTGCCTATCGCCGCCTTAATCGGTGTATTGGTTAGCGATGCTCACTGTTTTATGATTGGATTCGGATTCTGAAGAAGGCATATATGTTTATAAGTTTGTAAGTGTATAGTTTCTGTACTACGTGGAAGGCACTTAAATACTGGCGAGCCGAAAGCCCGCTCGAGTTGTTAGTGGTAGGGCCAGTGTGTTGGGAGACCCTCATATCCGTCGTGTTCTCCATCACAATTTCGGGCGTAGCTGCATGAATTCTACCTGTACAATCAATGGTGAAATTCTGGTGCTTCTCCTACTTTTTCCTGTGCTGTACAGATCCAAAACTCAGCCTCTCTTTCATTATTCGAGTAGTCCAAATCGATAGTCATCCTTATATTAATACATAACACTGGTATGTAATTATAGGTTACGAATATTATCTTACCATCGTCTATTAAAATATATTTATTGCTTTTATTAAAGACAGGGCAAAGCTGTCCTTTTTATTAAAATCAAGGACAGCTCACAGATGTCGAAAAAAACTTGTACTGTGTCTATTCAGAAATGGTTCGAATGGTCTGTTTATACACTGGTCTCTTAAAATAAATAAGTTTTAATGTTTCTTAATTTTCTAGAAATAATTTAAGGCTTTATATTTAATATTTATCCATATTAACTCTTGAAATAATATCGTCCTGTATACTTGCTTTAATTTAAACAGTTTATGGAAAAATATTTTTAAAAAAATTGTGCTGTTTCTTAAATAATTTTTTCAAACTGAGTCGAAAAAAATATGTTGTATTTTTTAAAATATAATGTACTTATTAAATTTGTAAATAAAGCTCAAAATTAAATTATGTTTTCGTATCTAATTTACTTACCTTTATTTTGGACGTAACTGTATGTTACACCTAGATTAAGCACTGCGTGTAAAATACCTGAATTCTTTAAATTTATTCCGAATTTTCGTGAGGAATATAGAAGATAAAATAAAAAAATAGGAAAAGAAAAGGAGATCTATAACTTGTTCTTCAGGTTTAAAGGACTTTGTTTTCGACACATTATTAAATTAAAAGATTTTATTTTCTACAAAACGTCCTTGACTAAATTTGAATTGCATCTTTATGAACATGGGTGTAGTTTTAAAACCGTATTCTTAAATTTGTATTTCATTAAATGAAGATTTCAAATCAGAAGTAGGATTTCAGAAGTAGAATCTACTAAAAATTAAACAAGAACACTGTAATAAAATTTCGAAACAAAAACATTAGATTCAATACTGAATACTAAGGATTGTCAGTCTGACTTCATTGGCGAAACAAATTGGCGAATTTGAGTTAGAAATCTCCTAAAAAGTGAATTAGATTATATTTCTACATTTTAATTTCATTTTTTTTTCAATTTTTATCTCACATTATATAAAAAATATACTTAAGTATTTATTCAAATTTGAGAATTTTTTTTCCATTTGGATGTGTTTAATATTTTTTACTACCGAACTGATTTTCGTCCTCTGAGTATGTTTTAAATTCAAGTTTCTCGGTTTTGTTATTATTATTTATATTATTGTATTTTTTAATTTTGTAATTTTTGCATTTCTAATTTATTTCAATTTAAAATCTTTTTAAATATGTCTAATTTTATTCTTTACTTGATTTGACATAGGCATCTTTACCCTGCCTCGGGGAGGACTTTCAAATTTTCGGATGAACTGCTATAATTAAATACTTTAGAATAGTTCATCAGCTGATTTTGAATACAGATATGCAGTGGCTTTCAAGTAGAAGGGGGTTTATAATTGAGTCTGATATATCCTCCTCTTAATAACGTTATATCAGAATTGATTGAATTCCTCTTTTATATTTTTTCAGGTTTTTATAATTTTTAGGTTTTAGTTTCACATTTCTTTAATTCTTATTTTGCATATTTATAGGATATTTTGAAATTTATTCGTATTGAATTTCACTGCTTTTGGGTAAGAAATTTAGAACCAGGTTTACACAAAGATTACCCAATTTTCTTTTTAATCGTTACGTAAACCTAACTGTAATTACCTTTTGTTTATACTGATCAATTTCCAGCAGCATATTGCGTAGAAATACGTGAAATCTTTAAATAAAAAAATGATGATAATATATATACTATTCTTATATATATATGATTTTAGACAAATTTTATTTTTTTGAATGGTCTTTTTACATAATACAAATTTTCTTTTTTTTTTTTTATTTTTATGTTTTATGTTTTTATTTTATATTCGTTTTACCAAGTGTTTCGAGGATGTGTAGGGAAAATTCTGGTACATTGAGATTCGAGTTTTCGGCTTTATATGAATTTTAATATCTTAAATAAAAAATTTAATAAATTCGTTTTTCGGTTTTTGATCTCAAATGAACCAGGAGAACGAAACACGGTTTTGAAATATATTAATCGACTTTTATGATGCTTTAAT